ATAAGATGGTATTTGGAAAGGGTTATTTATATTCATTTATGCAAAGATATTAAAATGTGGACTTTAGATTCTGTTGATTTAAATTGAACAGATCATTCATATTTTTTAGTTGAGATTTTCCAAATGTGAGTTTGATTGTCAAACAATTTACGCAAAAAGAAGAAAGAATGTTGTTTATACGGTAAGACGTGATTTTTAAGAAAATTTTTATCTTTTTGGCGCAACAATGTCACAATTGAAAGTGTTCAAGATGAGAGAATCTTCCTCAAGGTTTTTATATTTTAAAAAGTTATATTGTACATGCGTATATAGGAAAAGGAGTACAACTTTCATAGAAGGATCAAAATGGCATAAGCAAGATTTATATGTTGAGCTGCAAGTTCAAATGAATGGCCTTATGCTTAGACAACATAACCTACTGAGAAAGGAGAGGAGAAAAACATAAGAAGCTTTGAAGGTTGTTAAAGCTTTGAAAGTTTGTAACAAATGGAGGATAGCATTGAATACTGCTGATATATCATGTCGAGAGTGGAGAGAAAAATTAGTAAGAATAGCAAGTTCTGTGATATATAGTTCATATATCTATAATTATGTTGATTCGTACATAGTTCATATTTCAGTACGAATCGGAATCAATGTTTCATTTTATCTATCTTGATCCATGTTCAAGGCTAGACTGACACGATCAAGACTATTCAAATGTAAAAATTGTTTAAAGTTGTATTATTACAGTAAATATTTTTACATAAAATTCAAGTATGGGCCCGTGCTCAGCGGGCATTCTCTTAACTAAACAAAAAGTCAACTAACAATAAAATCATTCATGAACAAATGAAAGTAGCAACAAATTTACAATTCAATAGTTAACTTCAAATGTTAATCGCCCAGAGGAACCCAAACATATTTTTATCAATGTATATTATGTAAAGGAATCCATCTTCGTCCTTGTTTTTCTCGAGAAATAGTTGGAGCCACAATGTTCTTGACAAAGACAAATATAGTCTTTTAGTTAGCATAATAAGTGTTCCATGGAGAGGCACATTATTCCTTAACATAGTTTTAAATTTTAAGTATCTTATACTTTGATTTTGACCTCATTTTATTTTTAATTTGCACCGAAAAATTGATTTAAAAATACCAAACTAAACCGAATCGAATTGAATTAGTTTTGTTTGAAATACGGTGCACACTTTTCTAAAATCGAAAACCAAATAATCGAAAGCCCACCCCTAACGATAGATGTTGAATGATGTATTAAAAATAAGATAAATCAAAAGTATTATTTTGATATCTGTTTACTTTTTGTCCAAAGTAAAATTATCCACTGAAATGAACAATTTTCAAGAAACGCGACAATCTTTTTAACTATTTGTTCACTCTTGGTCTTAACTGCCGCTGAAACTTCTGCGTATTCAAAATAATTTCTCTTCTAATATTTGTGTAACGACCTGATCCGGTCGTTATGGAAAAGCCCTAAATTGGGGATTTGGATCATGGGTTGGTCTTGGGTTATTGGATTTGCTATAATCCGGATAATTAGACCTTTAAATGTTGATCCTTGCGTATATTAATTGTTTGTAGACCTAGAACAAGCAGGAAGAATCCGGAAGGGAAGATTCAAGTGCCTTAGGGGGTTCAAGCTTGATTTCGAGGTAGGTGATGGTTTGATTTCATGTTTTGTGTGATGTATGTGGGTAATTGCTTCATTGTAATGCATGTATGTATGTGGATGAAGCCCTGTTGATCAAACCTAATGAAATGAGTATGAATGAACAAATGTATGTCACGATTCCACACTTGATTGTATGATTATGAGTATGTACATATGAGTGTGATTGTGATTGTGGTTGTGTTGAATGGATCGGGTGTCACATTCCGACACATTAACTAGGATCGGGTGTCACATTCCGACACTTATATTGAAGCGAGTGTCACGTTCCGACGACACTTATATTGATTTTATCTATCTTGATCCATGTTCAAGGGTAGACTGACGCGATCAAGATTATTCAAATGTATATATAAACTTCACTCTTCCGCTCTTGTACAAAAAACATGTCATGTTGGTATATAGATTATAGAGGCATTTAAATAAATAGTTAATTGTTCAAAGCTGTATTATTACAGTAAATATTTTTACATAAAATTCAAGTATGGGCCCGTGCTCAGCGGGCATTCTCTTAACTAAAAATAAAAAGTTAACTAACAATAAAATTATTCATGAACAAATCAAAGTAGCAATAAATTTACAATTCAATAGTTAACTTTAAATATTAATCGCCAAGAGGAACCCAAACATATTTTATCAATGTATATTATGTAAAGGAACCCATCTTCGTCCTTGTTTTTCTCGAGAAGTAGTTGGAGGCACGATGTTTTTGACAAACATAAATATAGTCTTTTAGTTAGCATAATAAGTGTCCTTAACAAAGTTTTAAATTTTAAGTATCTTATACTTTGATTTTGACCTCATTTTATTTTTAATTTGCACCGAAAAATTGATTTAAAAACACCAAACTAAACGAACCAAAGTAGAAAAACTGAACCAAATTGAATTAGTTTGGTTTGGAATACGATGCACACTTTTCTAAAACCGAAAATCAAATAACCGAACGCCCATCCCTAACGATAGATGTTGAATGATGTATTCAAAAATAATATAAATCAAAAGTATTATTTTGATATTTGTTTACTTTTGGTCCAAAGTAAAATTATCTACTAAAATGAACAATTTTCAGGAAACGCGACAATCTTTTTTAACTAATTATTCACTCTTGATCTTGATTGCCGCTAAAATTTCTGCGTATTCGAAATAACTTCTCTTCTAATATTTGTTTCACCAAGTTTGCTTCCAACAATAATTGTTTCTTAAGATGATTAAACGGAGACTCCCTGAACTATTGAATGAAATTGCTTATCGTTGAGGAGTTCCTTAAGATGATCAAAAACATCGAAATTGATGTAGGAGTGCTAATGAGTAATTATCTCTACTTTTCTGAAGTAAAAAAAATGTACTTTCAAAAAAGGCCAAAAATAAAAAAAAACGTACAACAATCACATATATTTCAAACAATCACATAAAATCAATAAAATTATAAGTATTAAAAATGAATACTAAATTATTCATTGAGTATACACTTTTGATATAAAAATTGATAATAAGAAAAACTGTAACCAAATCTATTCAATAATGAGTTGATATAAAAATAAATTAAAGAATGCCATTTTGATACACACATTACATACGCGCATACAACAACATTAGTTCACATCGATGTATCAAATTGATCTAACATTATTTTTTGGGGGTAAAAACAAGATAATATACTTTAAAGGTCTACTTCATACTCACACCCAAACACAATAAATTCAATTTCTTTTGCCTCTTCTGCATACAAATAAACATAACTCGAGTTCATACAAATATTTTTGCGGAATATATATAAACAATAAAAATAACATGCAAGGTCTAAAAATATAAAAAAAATAAAAAAAATGAAGATATGAAGAAAAAAAATTGAACCTTTTATACCTTTTGATCAACTTTCTCTTTTTGGTGGGAATTTGATTTCTTCACCCGCACATTGATTTGGGCTCTTTCATTAGTGATGCCTCACCCTTCATAAATTTTTTCTTTGTAATTTATTTCTTTCACAAAATCTGAATCTAAATCTTCCGATTGAGTAAAATTGATATTCTTGCATTTTCTTGTTCTGTCGTATTGCTTTGTTGAACTGATTTCAATGAGAACAATGTCACTTTAGTTGGCCTCCTTATGATCCTTATTTGGTGTTTGTGAGAGCAAATCGAAGCGTGTTGACTCAAACTATTGTTATTCACTAATCTAGGACTTTTCTGGGGTAAGGTGAATTTTCGATTTTTTTTATGATTGTGAATTGAATCGAAAAAATACGGAACAATGAATACAAAGCATAAATAGATTTGCAAAGGGGGTGAATTTTCAATATCAAAGTGATAAAAATTTGTAAACATTGCTATAAAAGAAAAATATTTGGGAGAAGATCATGGAGAAGGTTGAAAAAATTGTACATTAGTTGAGATTTTTGCCTTTTTAGGAGACGTGTAGTATAATGACATTCACGATTTCCTCGGTACTACTCCTAAAATTGCACGTTTTTTTTTTTTTGGTAACTAACATTTTATTAATTACCTGAAGCAAAACATTACAATCCAAGTAGCTATCACAACATACTTTGTTCTCAAATCTAATCTCATCTAACTACAACTCTAACACTACATCCTATTGCTTAGAATTTAAATTCCATAACATTTTTAATATTAGCTGGAGCTCTAGCAATAGTCACATAGGCTATCTCTTTAGCTACATTTTCCTCCGTTTTGCTCTTTTTCTCGAAAATTCTGTTATTCCGCTCAATCCACACCCCATAGACTCCTTCAGCCAAAATGATCTTGAATATTTGGGTTGCTTTAGTCTTCCCTTTTCCATGTTTAGTGCACCATTGTATAAATTGTCCCCATGTTCTTGAAATGTCATTATGATGATGGATCCATGTAAACAGCCTTTCCCACATCTTTCTTGCAAATTGGCATGGTATGATCATGTGCTCTATAGTCTCATCTGCATTCTTACATAGGACACAAGTCTTATTTGCTTCCACTCCCTATTTAGCTAGCCTGTCCACTATTGCTAACTTCTTGCTAAACATGAGCCACATAGTGAAATAAGCTTTTGGTCTTGCTGAATTCTTGAACATGAGACATTTCCAATCAGGCCTTTGTTGCTCCCCCATCATGTACAGATAAATTTGCCTGGTCATGCTTCCTTTCTTGTCCCTCATCAGTTGAGTTTGATCAATTATATGTTTGGCACTCATGACTTTTCTTATCATCCAGCTAGCTTGTTTGGACTTTGGCCATGTGCTCTGTCCCTTTATATAGTATGTATGTATCCATCTGATCCAAAGTTTGTCCTCTTTACTTGCTAGATCCCAGCATAAGTTGGCAACTGCTGCTTTGTTTCAGATTTGCATATTAATCAGTCCCATGCTTCCTGTAGATTTAGGACAACACACTCTCTCCCAAGCAACAAGTGCCTTTTTAATGACATAACCAAACCCTGACCACAAATAGCTTTTACAATGCCCCTCAATCAGTTTGATTATCTTTGCAGGATTAATGAAAAGTTGTGCCCAATATGATTGAACTCCAAACAACACAGTCTGTACCAATTGTGTTCTACCTGCATATGACAATTTCCTAGTTGTCCATGAGAGGGTACTATTGTATTACTATCATTTTCTTAGTAGAAAGAGGCACCCCCAAGTACTTAAAAGGTAATTCTTCCATCTTGTAGCCAAGTTGTTGTATAATTTGTTGCCTCACCTCTTAGCTGAACTCCCCCAAAATAAATGGAACTTTTGTTGAGATTGGCTTGCAATCCTGAAGCTTGTGAGAACTGAGAAAAGAATCTCTGGAGAGCCTTGATGGAATTTAGATCTCCTCTAGAAAAAATGAGCAAGTCATCTGCAAAGCATAAATGAGTGATATCCAGTTTGGAGTGTTTTGGATAATACTTGAAGTTTGTCTCTTCCTTGAGTCCCTTGAGTAATCTACTGAGATATTCCATAGCTATAGCAAAAAGAAAAGGGGATATTGGAGCTCCTTGTCTAAGTCATTTAGCTGCTACAAAATTTTGTGTAGCCTGTCCATTCACTATAATAGAATAGCTCACTGTTCTCACACAACTCATTACCCACTGTGTAAACATATCAGGAAATCCCAATCCATTCATCACTTGCTCTAAATAATGTCACTCCACTGAATCATATGCTTTTTGGAGATCCATCTTCAGCATGCTTCTGGGAGAAATGTTTTTCCTAGTATAGGCTTTAACCAATTCATGAGCTAGTAGGATATTGTCTGATATCTTCCTCCCTGGTATGAAACCAACCTGGCTATCACTAATGACAGTATGAATAACATCATGCAATCTTTTTTCCAATACTTTGGAAATGATCTTATACAACACAGTACAACAAGCAATTGGTCTATATTCTTTCACAGTTTTGGGGCTTTGTACCTTTGGGATAAGAGTTACCAATGTGCAGTTGACAGACTTCTATAATTTTCCAGTTTTAATAAAGCTTTGCACAACATCAATAATGTCCTTTTTAATAGTCTTCCAAGTATACTTAAAGAAAAAGGCATTATACCCATCTACACCTGGAGCTTTGTCATTTCGAATAGATTGCAGCCCTGCATAAATCTCTTTTTCAGTTATATCAACACACAACTTAATCCTTTGTTGTTTTGTCAACATGGTCCCTCTTTTCATTACCTGGACATCTACAGCTGGTAAAGTAGAAGCTGAAGCTCCCATCAGACCTTTATAAAACATAACAAACTCATTTTGGATCTCTTGTGGCTCATACAACATCTGCCCATTTAGGGATGTTATACCTCTGATTTGCTTCTTCTGATTTCTCTCCTTTATAACTGCACTAAAATATTTATTGTTTGCATCCCCAGTTGGATCCATTTTGACCTTGATTTTTGTCTTAGTGCACTTTCTTCAATCATACACCATTTCTCCAGTTTCATTAGTATATCTTTCTCTTGATCAATTAAATGATCAGTTGCCTGACTGTATAGCTGATCTTAGATTCTGTTGAGTTCCAGTCTAGCTTTCTCAATTTGCTGGCTAATATACTTTAACTCTTTTCTATTTAGTTGTCTCAATACAGGTTGGAGAGCCATTAGTTTACACCAGACCTTCTTCATGTTGGCCTTGTCATAGTCCTGTTTCGATATACTCTCCACTAAGCTCTGATATACCGTGAGTTTACGGTATTTCTAATACATTTCACTTACAAGTTGTGTGTGTCTAGGGCCTTTTTATATTGGTTTTAATGTGTTTTTATCATGTTTTGCAGGAAATGTGTTCAGGCGCGGAAGTTTAAAGACAGTTGAAGGAAATGCAGAAACAGGGCATTTACGGAGGTGATCTACGGACCGTAGGTCCATTCACGGTCCGTAGGTTATGATCGTAGATCAGCAGGCATGGTATTGAGGACAAATCAGGGAAATCTGACCAAGTGTGGAACCACGGTGCCCATTGACGGTCCGTAGATTGAGCTACAGACCGTACTGTTAATCCGTAGAGTGAGACTGCGAGGATTCCAGTACCTGAATTTTGAAGATTCTAAGTATGGAGCTACGGAGGGGATTGACGGAATGTAGGTCGATCTACGGTCCGTACTGCTGGTCCGTCGTTTGCTTCACAGAAGCTAATTTTTGGAAGCTGAAATATTTTCTAAGTCCCGAGTGACGGAAGGGACTTACGGACCATAGATCCATCGACGGTCCGTAAGTCGGTCTCGTGGATTGAAGACGCATACCTGAACAAAACTTTCCTTAATTTGTTTCCTTTTTTATTTAGGATTTGTTTTCTATAAATAGGACATGTAAACCTCATTTTTGGGGGTTAGACACTATTATTCTATTTTTGCTTTGTAAGTTTGGAGATTAATTTGCAACTCTAGCAATTATTGATTTTCCAAGTTCGTTTTGAAGATTTTGGCTTTGCAATTCAAGTAAAATTTCTGGGTTGATTATTCTCTTTACGTAAGTTCATGATTTTTTCATCTAGAATTATGAATTGTGTTCTTGCCAATATGAGTAACTAAATCTACAACTTGGGTTGTGGGAACCATGAGCGTTTAACAAAGTATGAATAGTAAATAAGAATTCTTGACAAGTATTTTGCATGCATTGATAATTCTTTTGTTTAGAAGTCTTTTTAACGGTGGCCAACGTTAGAACTCGCCTTGTTACTACTTGCCGGACAAAAGAGGTAAGTAACAAGAAAAGAATTATCAACATAGATTTAGTGTGATACTATCTAATAGGCTAGTGTCGATTGGTGCAAAGTAATAACTAAGTCAAACATCGGTTATGATGTCTAATATGAGGAAAAGGTAAGGATTAGTAAATTATACACACGTAGCCGGACCAAGGTGCGGGGTGAAATTCTCTAGATGTCGGACTAAGGATCTAAAGATACCTAACTTATCACTTTGAATATAATACACTAGAAAAGGATTGCTATTACTAGGATTACTGCATTATGAGATTGTGGGGAACACCTATACCCTAGTTATTTCTATTATCTTGATAACAACCAAAGTTGGGTTTGATTATTGATTACTTATTAAGTTCTTACTATTTGTTTCACACAAGCACAACCCCCCTTTTATTACCTGTTTCTGGAAATAATTTGACTAATTGAATATAACTGTTGGTTAAAAGTAAAGTCTAAACCATTTTCCTCGTGGGATCGATCCCAATCTACAAGTTGGGTTCTTTACTTGATAACGATCGCTTATACTTCTGTAAGGAGGTGTAATTTGAGCGTATCAAATTTTGGCGCAAATGTGGCAGCACCTCGTAGAGAGCCTCAGGTTGAGGTACCTCATTTGGGTGCCGATCTTGCAGACACAGTGGGGCAGGCACAGGATGATGACCTCAGCATCCCCGATCACACCGACACTGTTCTGGGCTCCTCATCTCAGGCAGCTAGTATGGCTCCTAGCTCTTCCCGGTCCGCACCGCAGTTAGGAGCTACTGTGGTCCCTTTGGCCAGAGTCCAGAAATTAGAAGCTCAGATAGCCACCCTGCTGCATCACATCCAGCCGTGGATGCAAAATTCCATTGCCGAGTCAGAGGCCAGAATGGAGCGCAGGATGGAGGGGATGATGGACCGTAAGGTCCTGGCTGTTAATAAGCGGCTTGACACCTTTAAGTTGTGAGTCCTCAAGCGATCAGCTCCGGCCACAGACTTATCTGCTTTGCAGGCTGACATAGCCAGCCTCCGGACTGACGTTGATGCCATTCTTGCTGCACCTTCAGTTGAGACTTAGGCTGCCCCTACTGCGTTGGCTGATGATACAGTGCTAGATGCTCTATTCAGTGGCATCGCCGAGGGGGGGCCTGCACCGACACATGCCAAGGGCAAGCGGCACCGCTCTCATCGCACGGAGGAAGAGAAAGCTCAGAAGAGACAGCGTTGGCAGGAGAAGGAGGCTGGGAGGGCTTCGATCGAAGACGAAGAGTTGCGCCAGCAGAGGGTGCGTGAGAGAGCTGCAGGGGCATCGAGCTCTGCCCAGTTGCAGAGGTTCAGCCTATTTTGAGGGGCGTTTTGAGCACCACTGATGGTGCGGAGCGGTTGATAGAGAGCACTACTGAGGGTGCTAGGATTGCTGAGGTGGGCACTACTGAGGGTGCCCCCACTGATGTTCCAGAGGGCTCCGGGAAACCAGACCCCTCTGCTTGTTGATGATTCACCGGCGCTTTGCGCCATAGGTTTGCTTCACCCAAATCCATTTTCTTTTACTGTTTATGTATGCATTGTGGACAATTGCATCTATTTTTGTTGGGGGTGGGGTAAATGGATTGTGAGTGATAGGGTGAAGTCTGAGTAACCCAACTCATGAATCCTCTCTTGGGGTTTTATTGCCTGTGTTCTTTTCCCCTAAGAGATTGTTTAATTTTTGTTGAACCGGCATGTCTTAGGATTGTATGTGTAGAAGCATGATACAGAATGAAGCATGATGGCTTATAGAAAAAAAAATGACACCCATCAGATTCTGGGTTGTATGCTAGAAGTTGGCTACAATTAGTTGATTGTGTTGGCTCTGAGTATGACATAGTAACAATCGACTTGATGACATGACTAGACCTGAAACTTGAACTGGGTAATCTGATAATCTGATAATGAAACTATGTGCCAAGAGTGGGTGAGAATCATTGACTATTCAAACGGTTTTGTGCAAAACTAGAACTTGCCCGGTTAGTCCTGCTAAGACAATTCAATCTAGAGGATAGGAAGTGATCATAGGCTATTGTTCTGAAAAAATCCACAAATTGCCTAGAAGGATTCAACCAAATGAAATAACTGTCCCCTTTGATCCAACTTTGAGCCTAAAAATAAACCATTTCTTTCTAAAACCCCGAACTCACTTTCCCATAATCTACTATGTTGGCCCCGGTCCCTCCTTGGACATGTGCACTTTGACTTAGGCCAAAAGCTTCAGTTGAGGGTGGCTAATGTAAAAACTAACTTCAATCTTGGCCCTGACCTGACATCGGGTATTGTGCACCTCAACTAACGGAAACTCCATAAGTTGAGGGTGGCTATGAAAGAGGATACTGAAATAAAAATGGGTATGAAAAGAGTGGAAAAATAAAAAAAAATAAAAAAGTGGAAAAATGGGTATGAAAGAGAAAAAAAAAAGGAAAAACGTGAGGAAAGGATGTGACTTGTTAAAAGTGAAAGGAACAATAAACTAAAAAGAAAATGAGCTACAAAGTCGAAAGTCACATCCGTGGTTGAAGAAAATTAAGGGAAAGAAGGTAAAGCAATAATATGACAAAAATAGGGCAAAAAGAGGTTAAAAGCCCAGTGTAATGACAAGGAGGGCAGAAAGTCACTAAGCAGTACCCAAATGTACCACACCTGACTCTGAGCCTACGTTACAAGCCAATAAAGTCCTATTGGGATCCTAGAGTCTAGTTTGGAGAGTCTAAGCAGTGAAAATAAGGGCAAGCTTATGGCAGTAGGCACTAAAT